CCCCCCCCCCAAAAAAAAGAGTCTTGGGGCTGGGAAGTTGGCTCAGTGGTAGAGTTCTTGTCTTGTATGCATGAGGCCCTGGGTTTGATTCCTCAGTACCACATAAGCAGAAAAAAGCTGCAAGTGGCGCTGTGGCTCAAGTGGCAGAATGCCAGCCTTGAGCTGAAGAGCTGAGGGATAGTGCCCCACGACTGCCAAAAAGAAAAAAAGAAAGAGTCTCACAGAGTTTCCTACCTGGGCTAACTTTGAACTGTGATCCTCAGATCTCAGCCTCCTGAATACCTAGGACTACAGGCATGAGCCACGGCACCCTGCCAGGTAGGGTACTTTTGTCAAATCCTTGGACTCCTTTGATTCTTCCTACATAGGTAGGAAGACAAGTGTGTACCACCATACAGAGCCCAAGCTTAGATGAACCTCTTGTCCTCAGTGATCCATCAAAACAGAATCCTTATTAACCAAATTTTGGTTTAGCTTTTCATTCCCTTGAGTCCTTGAACTTTGGTCCACACTCAGCTTTTGCTAGCATCAACACACAGTTCCTCCTTATCCACTCCTCCTGAAAATAGGCTGGCTTCAGGGTACAACATTCTCCAATCTACTGACTTTATCCCCCTTACTCGTTTTTTTCTTCATTCCAATCCTGGGGTTTGAACTCAGAGCCTATGCGGTGTCTCTGATCTTCTTTTGCCACTTCTGGCTTTTTCTGAGTAGTTTATTGGAGATAAGAGTCTCACAAACTTTCTTGCCCAGGCTGAGTTTGAACCTTGATCCTCAGATCTCAGCCTCTCTAGTAGCTAGCATCACATGTGTGAGCCACCAGCACACCAAATTCTTTTTAACCTGTTTATTCTTTTTTTTTCTTTTTTTGCCTAGCCCTTGTGATTCTGAAAGATCTCATGGTCAATGTGAAACTAGGAGGATAAGGACTATGTTATCCTCCCAGACTGCTAGTCAGGATAGTTCTTGTCCTCCTTTAAAATAATTCATTCTAAAGCCGAGCGCCTGTGGCTCACGCCTGTAATCCTAGCTACTCAGGAGGCTGAAATCCGAGGATCTCAGTTCAAAGCCAGCCCAGGCAAGAAAGTCTGTGAGACTCTTATCTCCAACTACCTACCAGAAAACCAGAAGTGGTGCTGGAGCTCAAGTGGTAGAGTGTGCTCCTTGAGCTGAAGAGCTAAGAGACTATACCCAGGCCCAGAGTTCAAGACCCACAACTGACAAAAAAAAAATCATTCTAAAGTCTCTCCTTACTGAGTATAGATTGTGTGTGGGGGGGGGCATGCATGCATTTGTGCCAATACTGGGGCTTGAACTCAGGGCCTCAGGGCCTCTCACTCTCACTTGGCATTTTCTGTAAAGGCTGGAGCTCTACCACCTGAGTTACACCTTACATCTTTTTACTGATTAATTGGAGATAAAGACTCTCACAGGACTGAGGGCTGGTGGTCACGCCTGTAATCCTAGCTACTCAGGAGGCTGAGATCTGAGGATTACAGTTTCATGTCAGCCTGGGCAAGGAAAGTCCTGACTATTATCTCCAGTAAAACTAGAAAACCCGGAAGTGGCACTGTGGCTCATGCGGTAGAACACTGGCCTTGAGCTGAAGAGCTGAGGGACATCGCCCAGGCCCAGATTTCAAGCCCCATGACCGACCAAAAAAAGAATCTCACAGATAGCTTCCTTCTGGTGGCTCACGTCTGTAATCATAGTTACTCAGGAGACTGAGATCTGAAGATTACAGTTTGAAGCCAGCCTGGGCAGAAAAGTCCCCATAAGACTCTCAAACTAGGGCTGGGAAGGTGGCTCAGTGGTAGAGAGCGCTTGCCTTGCATGCATGAGGCCCTGGGTTCAATTCCTCAGCACCATATAAGCAAAAAGAAAAAAGCCGGAAGTGGCACTATGGCTCAAGTGGTAGAGTGCTAGCTAGCCTTGAGCTGAAGAGCTGAGCAATAGTGCCCAGGCCCAGAGTTCAGGCCCCACGACTGGACCCCCCCCCCAAAAAAAAAGACTCTCAAACTACTCAAAAACCAGAAGTGAAGCTGTGGCTCAAAGTGGTAGAGCACAGCTTGGGCAAAAACGCTCAGGGACAGAGACCAGGCCTGAGTTCAAGCTCCACAACAATTCTCCACAAAAAAGAAGGAAGAAGAAGAAGGAAGAA